TCAAGCTCACATACCTCTATTTTACTGGTGGGAATCTTTCAAGGTTGCAACATACCTGATAAATAGACTGTCTACCTCTGTTCTTCAACACAAATCACCCTTTCAAACATTGTTTGCAAGAAACTTTGATTACAAATTGTTAAAAACATTTGGTTGTGCATGTTATCCCTGTCTTAGACCCTATCAAAGATACAAATTCAGTTTCCAGTCTCAAAATATGTTTTTCTTGGCTATGGTGACTCAAATAAAGGTTATAAGTGCTTAAGTTCCACTAGTAGGATTTACTTCTCCAGACGTGTGGTGTTCAATGATTTAGAGTTTCCTTTCAAAATAGGTTTTATAAACAAACTAACCCAGCCACAAACTTCGGAAACCATCATGAGTTTTCTTCCTTTTGTTGAGTCCAATCATAGAATCGTTCCTCCTGCAACTGATACAAATCAGCCTAATTCATCACCTGCTGCAGGCTCCTCTGACAGAGAAATGGGAATTAATATTGAAGGTGGAAAAAGGCTATGCAGGAATAGTACAATGTACTAATGAAAAATGAAACTCGGACATTAGCACCTTATAAAGCTGGAATGAAGGTAATTGGCAATAAATGGGTATTCAGGCTGAAGTATAATTCAGAAGGTAGAGTGCAAATACATAAAGCAAAATTAGTGGCCAATGGATTTCTTCAAACTCCTGGAGTAGACTTTAGTGAAACTTTCGGTCTTGTTGTTAAGGCTGGACTTTGAAAATTATCCTAACACTTGATGTATCTAAGGACTGGAAATCAAACAAGTGGATGTAAATAATGTCTTTTTGAATGGAAGGTTGAATGAGGTAGTATACATAGATCAGCCACAAAAATTTGTAGATGAGGGAAATCCTGGCTTTGTGTGCAAGTTGGGAAATGCCCTATATGGACTAAGGCAGTCCCCAAGGGCATGGCATGAGAGGCTGAAAAGTAGTCTGTTAGAATGGAAGTTCAGACGGTCTAAAGCAGATAATTCTATATTCTTCTTGGTAAATGAAATAGATGTGTTGTTTGCACTAATATACGTGGATGATATAGTAATTACAGGTAACAACAATCGACAGCTGCAAGAGTTCATTGATAAGCTAAATACTTGCACTTAAGGATATGGGAAGTCTTAGTCAATTCCTAGGAATTCAGGTACATAGAGATACAACTGGATTGTACCTGACTCAAAGAAAGTATGCTGTGAACTTACTCAGGAAGTTTAGCTATAAAAGCTTAAAACCAAGTCCGACACCTATGGCAGTAGGCAAACTAATTTCCAAGACTGATGGGTAAGCTATGAAGGACCCAACATTATATAGAAGTGCAATCAATGGCCTTCAGTGTCTAACTCATACAAGACCAGATATCACCTATGTTGTAAATAGGCTAAGCCAATTTCTTCAAACACCAACGAATGCTCATTGGAAGGTACTCAAGAGGGTATTTAGATACCTAAAGGGAGCACTAAGTCATGACCTTGCTATTCGAAAGAGTGATAGTCTTGACATAACCGCGTTTGTTGATTCTGACTGGGGCTTCATGTCCAGATGACAGAAGGTCAACTGCAGGCAATTGTGTGTACATTGGAGATAGTTTGGTGTCTTGGTGTTCTAAAAAATAGCATGTTGTTGCCTGGTCAAGCACAGAGGCTGAGACACGGCATTAGCTCAAGGTGCATAAGAAATTACGTGGATTCAATCCTTGATGAGTGAGTTGGAAATACCACAAAGATCAGTTCCAAGTATTTGGTGTGATAATCTGAGTGCAAGTGTGCTAACTTCGAATCCTGTTTATCATGCACGCATCAAAAATATAGAATTGGATGTACATTTTGTAAGGGACAGAGTATTAAGATAAGAGTTGGAAATACATTATGTACTGTCATCAGATCAGACAACGAATCTATTGACAAGACCGCTTGCTCATTCGAGGTTCGTATTCTTTATAGACAAGCTTGAAGTGATAGAAACTCACTCCACCTTGAGAGGGGGGGAGTTAGAATATTACTACCAACGTGAATGTGACATCAAATTCAACTGAATAACAGCTTATCACAATCATGATGCTAGTTGATATATCCTGATTATCAGGAATGGAATGCAAAAATCAGTTAGCCACATGGCATTTAATTCTCTAGAATATTCTTTGTGTGTGTGTATATATATATATAGGTTGAATGTGTATATAAGCTTATTGAAATGAAAGAACTCGGTGAGCAAAATTCATTCAATTACATCATGTGCTTTAACCAAAATATATATCTCTAGTTTCAATTTATAGTAAGATAGCAAGAGAATATATTCTCATATTGTCCTCTTGTGCCAAATTACTGATGGCAAAAAATGACATGACACTTATTAAAATTGTTGAATTGGCCTCAAGAAGATTAAAAACACAATGAATCTAGTCAATCGTACATAGGTGACGAGTGATGCAATGGTTGAAGTTTCTCCAATGCTAACGTCTATGCAGTCGGAATAAGTCTAAGCTAATATTAGTATTGCTGTAGTGTAAGGATTTTCATACCTTTCTAATGGCTATGCAAACCCAGTTAAAGGATGAAGGATAGGTCAACAAGACCCCAATGATTCCAATCAATTGTGACACGAATTAACCTATTTGTACAATTATTGTTTACAACATTGTTAATGTCAAAATCTGGACCATTGATTTAAAAAATAGTTTTTAAAATGAATGAATGTGATGTTGACAAGTGTAAGTTGTCAACAGACGAGTGTGTTTTACCCACAAGTTCTATACTATTCTAATTTGATTATTGGTTAGATTTTATGAGAATTGAACATTTTTTTATGTATTTATTAGTGTTGTTTTACAGGTGTCGTAATGTGGTGTTAATAATTGTAAAACTGGAGAAAACAAAGATATTGACATAAATAGAGAAAAAAAGAAGAACAAAAGGGCAAAAGAGTCAATTTCCTACATAAAAAAAGACATATGGCCAACAGGTGGTGCCACCATCATGGCGCATAAGCGACACTAGAAAGAAAAAAAAAGGCAGAGAGGTGGCACCCAACACCTTGAAAGAGAAGAACCAGAGTTGTGGCGCCCTGACGCCCCACCCCAAGCACTGAGTTGCTACCCTGAATTTCGACGCAGCCTGCTGTATCTAGGGCGTTGAATTTTAATCTTATTTAAAGTCCAGAAGACTCCAAATTCGGGAAAAACGTTAGGGAAAGTATAAATACAAGAAGATAGGTACTTGAGAAGAGTTTCACTCATTGAGAATAAAAGAACACAACTTGAGATCTAGGAGAGCAAAATCAAAGGAGAAAAAAATCAAGAAATCAAGAGTTTAAAGCATTGATTGGAAAAAAAGATCTTGGTGCAAAATTCATTGCTTTTTCTACATCTTTAATTCAAATTCGATGATGTACTCAATAAAAATCTCTTGTTTTTCATAACGAAATTATATATTAGGACAAACGGCGTAATCTAATTTAAATCCTTTATTTCTTATATATTCAAGATTCTAGTTCTTTCATCATATGTGTTGTTTTTATTAATGAATTTAATGCTTGAATTATTTGATCAACAATTCAATGATTTTGTAAATTTTTTACAAACCGAGAGATGAGTTTTAGATTTAGACCATATGATAAAATTCGATAATTTAATATAAAACATAGAGTTGCTTAAGCTAATTACCGTGATCATTATATGAATTCTTTGAACTAATATTGCATTTAATTAAAATTGATTCCCATAAAGATATGTGATTGAATCAATTAAATAGGCTCAATGAGAATTCGAGATGGGTAAATTAAATATGATAGAAGAATTCGATCAAATACTATATTAGATTTGTGAATCTTGAATTAAGATTTAAAGGTAATAAATAGATGAAATTGTTATGTCCTAATATCTCATTTCATATTTGAATCCTGAATCGATCTTTGTGTACATATTGCTATTTCCAATTAGCTAGATACAGTTAGAAAAACAATCACAACATTAATATTCGTTTTCATCCATCAAATAAGAGTTAAAATAGTAAAATATGAATAAATAATAGTACTCGTGAGAACGATAATCCAAACTCAAAAATCCATTATATTACTTGTTATGATATTGCACATTTGCAATAGAAAAAACGCAATATCAACCAAGATTGTAAAAAAAAGATTGTACAAGTAGCATGATTGTTGTGATATGTCTGTATTTAAGCCATTCAAGTACTTTTTTGTGACAACCTATCGCGTAGCCTTCAAACCTACAAGTCGTGAATGCTAATTGGATGAGTATTCCAAATGAATAATGCTATATGTACATCAACCATGATAAACTCGGTTGACATTCCCTCTATGTGGAGGAAATTTGTGCAGTGATGTTATAAATGAGTTCAAAATCAAAAGTGTAGGTGTAATCTCGTGGAAGACTATAAAGAAAAATGCGAGGAAAAGTGTAGATGTAGCAAAGTTTATTCCAAATTGAACTTGGGTTGGTTTGAATAATTTATTTAGCCTCCAATGGCCATTATTGTGATAAAATGTTTTGAATAGTGAATTTTTGAAAAATGTGTAATTAAGAAGTAAAAAAACTTTTGAAATTACGTGCAAAATATTTTATTGTACAAATATGTGGTTGAAAATAAATGGTTGCCAAACAAAGGCTTAGATATACTTTTAAAATAATTTGTTTGTCGGAACTCAAGCTCGGTGCCTGACGCATTTTAAGCGGGCCAACCAGTAGGTGGCAACACGCACACGTTGGCCTGTTCCATTTTAAGCTGGGCCACATGAGATTCAAGCAGCAGGAGAAAAGCAAGAAGAAACTAGCTCAGCCAGAGCAATGCATACAAATAAGCCAAGAGAAGTAGAATTTCAGATTAATCAAGTAACCACTCAAGTCCAGAAAACACTTCACAGTATACTACTCTCCATTTAGGACAACACATTGGAGGTAAAATGCTTCTAAGAGATTAACCTACATGTCTATAACAAGTCCACGCTGAAATATTCTGTTGTCAAAATCACTTCGCAAGCATCATCCTCACAAACTCCTCGTAATTTACTTGGCCATCACCATCCACATCTGCTTCTCGTATCATCTCATCCACTTCTTCATCTGTCAACTTCTCCCCAAGGTTTGTCATCACGTGACGAAGCTGCAAATTTCCAACACTAGGAAAATTAGAGAGAAGAATCGAAGTCGAGTCCTAAAAGACGTACTCTAACCGTTCAAGTGACTAACTGGTAGAGTGAGATTCAAAATGGAAGAAAGGGAGAGACCTCTGCAGCAGAAATAAAGCCATTTTGATCTTTGTCAAAGACCTTGAAAGCTTCTTTAAGTTCTTCCTCCGAGTCAGTATCCTTCCACAAACAAAGAACTAAGTTTATGTTTCTTGACATATTTGTTCGTGTTTATTAAACTGAAACTGGAATTAAGCTTATTAACTATTTTGATACTTTAAAATATAAAATGGAACAACCAGTAATAACATATTATTGGCACTTTTATGGATTAAGGACATATAGTAACAGTATCTTCAACAAATGATTTACACACCAATTTTCCTGTGAGCATGCACCAAACTGAAAATTTAATACTCATTAGTAGATTTTGAAGAAGCTAAAAGCTAAATGCAGTGTATCCTATGTATCTTCACCAATTTTCCACTGCCCATTGTCATAACAATTATGCATTCAATTTGAGAAAGTGCATTTGACTTAATAAGGGGAGGAGAATTTGACAAAAGTTCCCCAAATGATATACAGAAGTTTTCGATCCTTAAATGGCAAATGCTAAGTTGAAATAGCTACCTTGTTCTATGCATATGCATCTTAAGCAGCTGCTAATTTGATGAATAAACTGAAATTACTAGCATAAAAAATTTTAGATTATCAAATATAAAGATTGAGACAATTAGCAGCAGTAAGCACCCTAGTACAGGGAACATGCTGTATTAATAAAATCATATAAAGAAGCCGAGAAACAGGTAATTCTAGGCTATGATATACTGGTAGAATATGGTATACCAAGAGGTAATTCGTCCACATCTGACACATTACCAAACTATATTCTCATTTCGCTTTTCTGACTCAAAAACAAAGGATTTTCAGAGAGATGATAATTACCACACAGAAGCCAGAACTCTAAGAAACAAATACAAGCCACCCACATACCCACAGCTAAAACAAGAATGAAAAAAGAGGTCTTAGACAGATACCACAGAAACAAACAAACCAGAGGTCGAACCAAAATTACCTTCATTTTCCGAGCCATCAAATTCAAGAACTCAGGAAAATCAATTGTTCCATTTTGATCAGCATCAACTTCCCTGATCATATCTTGCAGTTCAGCTTCAGTGGGATTCTGACCCAGTGATCTCATAACTGTTCCCAACTCTTTAGTGGTTATACAACCTGTAAAATTGATTTTGCATAATAAACTTCATTGTTAGATATTAAAAGCCGAAGGGTATCAAGGCAGTTCTACAAAGAAAAGCAACAGAATAAGTTTAGCATTCAATGTAATTTTACAAGATAATCACATATATAAGAAAAAGGAATATAAATATTAAATTATTTCCCAAAATTGCCGATAAGTACTACATAAAAAAGAAAGAAACCAATGTTGACCTATGGTTGACTTCATGTTTTGATTATAACAAACAACTTGATTTTTATTTCTAACAAATTGAATTCGAGTAATCATAACTATTGTTGCAAAGTTGATCGATTGAAGGGACAAAAAGATCGCTACCAACAGGCTCGCATCAGACGATCAATAAAAATCGAGATGGAAGCCAAGCATTCACAACAAATCACTCGAGACAAAGAACTTCAAAAGTTAAAGATCGAAAATATTAGATTAAAATGTTTTGAATTCATATGTAAAGGTACAACGCTTTAATCATTAGCAATGAATTATTAAAGTTCAATAAATAAAAAAAAAAATTTATGCACGAGAAAATTATTTCATAAAAACACTTGCATTAAAATTATTTTTCAAAAAATAAGTATTTTTAGATATCTTAGTAGCACTAGAACCTTAGGTCTTTGGTATCTAAAAGGCACTCACATTGATTTAGTTAGTTATTCGAATGCAAATTGGGCGGGTTGCACAATTGATCGTAAGAGTACTAGCGGTACATGTCATTTAGAGGCTTTGCAAACTCCGTTACATTATCAACCACCGAAGTCGAATATATCTCGGCCTCTAGTTGTTAAGCATGAGTATTATGGATGAAACAATCTCTTAATGATTATCACTTATCACTTAATCATATATACCTACTGATGCGGACATCATTTTATATTATAGAATTTTTCATTAATTATGTTTTCATTATTATTGGGATTGTAGAAGTGGGTTGACCCAAACCCGCCACTAGTAAGTTAGGTTTTTACTATTGATTGGATATTTTTCATTGTGATTGAATTAGACGATGAATGAAGGAAAAATAAGTTTTGGCTTGTTGCCACGTTTTCCTCCCTTACTTCTCCTCTTTCCCTGATTTTTTCTCCGGTTTCTCCCTCCTCTCTGGTTCTTCCCCCTTTCTTGCTGCCTTCTATTTCATCTTGCATTAAATTTGATATCAGTTCTAAACCTAGTTTACATAATCCCAAAAAATAAGATTGAAAAAAAAAATAAAAGAAAATAAAAAATTTGTTAATGTTCAAGTTGTGATTTTCCATTGCTTGCCCTTATTGTTCATTAATCTCTCAATTGCACGTCATTTAGCCGCTAACACAGTGCGTACAGTTGCATAGTATCGTCTTATCACCTCTAGTTTCAATACCTTAACTATGGACTCCTCGCAATTTGATGCACTCACCCGTTAAATAGCAGCTATTCAAATCCAAATTCCTGCTACTCTTGAAGAGAGTAAGAGCCTAGCTGCTAGTCTGAACAATTTTAAGCAAATCCTTCATACGACTGCTGTTGATAATTTCAAAGTGTCCCATATTAGCCACTATCGTCGTCGACAACATGATCAAAAATATTTTCGACACGATCGTAGGGATAGGAATCAGGTGCGTCAGCAAATACAAGAACGAGGCCAAGATCTTTGAGTAAGTTTATACAAGGTCTAAGAGATGATCTTAGGCGTGAGTTTTTCCTTCGGGTGTCACTACTCTTGATCACGCTTACTCTTTAGCCCGAGATTTTGAGTTGATTATTAGTACTCCATATGAAAAGCATGGTGACAACCATACATTAATCTCATCAGCGTCGCTTCCTTTTTAAGTCTATTAGGAGACCTTCCCCATCAAATGTTTCTCCTACTTCTAAATGTCCCAGTCGAGCCTTAGTCATTGAAAAACGAATGAATATAATAGATGAGCGGTTAGAAGTTCAAGTTTATGAACCTAAACTTAAAGTGTTTGATGACTTGGATGATAGTGAGAACACTTCCTTGGGTATTATTCGGACTTTCCCTATGAATCCACGTATTGTACCTCTTGTTCCTGATACCTCTTAGTCAAGTGTTGTATGTCGTACCATTATCCAACCCAAATGTGCTATTGATTTGTGTAATCCTACCATTAACAAGGAAAATCTTGGGAATTGGGATTCGATCGTCCCAACAATTCAAATTATATATAAAATTCTGTGAATTGGTCTATATGTATGAGCCCTGTTGAAATTATTCATAGTTAATGAGCCTATGAAGCCTTTAGACCTTATTCTTACGTCTCCACATGCTAGTGTGTCGATGTCAGCTAAGACATTTGTACATCATCTTTATGATTTGTATATTGAGTTCAATAAACAACTTGAAGCAAGTAATGCATTATATAAACTTCAAGATGATTTGCATAAACGACATTTTGAATTTAATATTAGGAATTATGTTATATTGCAAGCCCGTAGTGCTGGTCATTTTAAAATTTTAAAGCATGTTGGTCCAAATACACATGTCATTGATTTTTTATCACATTTTGGCAACCACTCTACTTTCAATATTGAGGACTTCATTACTTACAAACACCGTTTCAATTCCATTGATGATCCTTTTCTATTTAGCTCGGTGGACTCCCAACCTGTCTATATTGATATTTCTACTTTCATACCATCTGTCACAGCACACAAAAATACAATTGATGTTATTTTAGATGAACAGATTGTATTAACCAATGATGGAGAGATTCGATGCTTCCTTGCTCGTTGGGTAGTTCCACCTGATGCAGATCCTACATGAATCTTATATAGAAGCTCCAACAAATCGGGATTACACTGCTCAGAGTTTCGATATTTAGTTCTTATGAAAGATCGTCCCCCGTGGGAGAAGTTTATCCACTCGACAAGGTCGAATTTTTCCGACCTCGGGAGAGTTGATGCGGACATCATTTTATATTATAGAATTTTTCATTGATTATGTTTTCATTATTATTGGGCTTGTAGTAGTGGGTTGACCCAATCCCACCACTAGTAGGTTAGATTTTTACTATCTATTGGATATTTTTCATTGTGATTGAATTAGACGATGAAGGAATAAAAATTAGATTTTTGCCTTGTTGCCATGTTTTCCTCCTCTACTTCTCCCATTTCCCTAATTTCTTCTTCGGTTTCTCCCTCCTCTCTGGTTCTTCCCCCTTTCTTGCTGCCTTTTATTTTGTAACACCCCGAAAAATTTAGAATAAAAATTTAATTGTTTTACATGCTATGTTTTTAAATTTTTATAGTTGATGGACTGATGTGAAATACGTTTTAAATTATTATGCTTTTGGATAGCTCATAATTTATGATGCATTTTAGGCTCGAGAAAAAGTTAATTCAGATAAGTTATGCTTAAGATATTGAGGTTTGAAGACATTATCACTTATTATAGTATAAACTGGTTGATTAAACTTATGGCAGCCCACGTTATTCATTTTTAACTTGTATGGCCTAGCACATGTACACATATATATTGATTGTTTTAGTAGAAAATGTATTTCAAACAAAAGTACACAAATCTTATCATTATTCTTGGAGTACACAGGTCCCACTTTCAAATCCCAACAAACTCCTATTAGATTAGGTCATAGGTGGTGTCCTTTAGTATTGATTATCATTTTTTTATTCAAATTTAAACTTCATCCTTATTAGGCTAATGTATAGGCAGACACGTGTGTAGATAAGTGTCGCATAACAATCAAGATAATTTTAAAACCTGTTTGATATATTTGATTCGATACGGTTTCTTGGGATAGATGCCAAATCCTAAATAAAGTAATCAACCTCTACAGAACTCTCCGATTAAGTCATTATAAATAGAGACAATGCACGGTATTAGCTCATATTATTTTTCTTAGTAATTCTTTTGTTCTGGTCTCTTTCTATTCCTCTATATAATATTGCTTTTAGCATAAAAAGAGAGTTTTTGCGTGCATTCTTTCACAATATCTCGATAACCGAGATAGGATACTTTATGTAAGTTGTTATGTCCTTGCAATATTATGATTTTTTCTACGTAATTTATTTCATGAAATGCTAATTGACTTGCGGGTCTTAACGAAATGAAATGAAATGTGAGATTTCTCAAATGTTGCACAGAAATGTGTTAGAGCATTCGATTGATCTCTGATTGCTCTTGATGAAATGGTGGTATGAAATGTTATAAATTTATGTTTAAAGAGTTGTTATATCGTTTTGGATGCACGTATTCTACTAAGTTTGAATTACTCATTCCTTCAAATTTTAGTATTTTACAGGTTCATTCGGGACGATTGGAATTGTGGCGGAATAGTGATGCGGACAGCCAGTAGATCAAAGAAGAAGGCAAATAATTATTTAGTTTTTTTTTTTTTATGTGTGTCTAAATTTATTTGTCAATTTTACTTGTTCAAAACCCGTTTGTTACTCAGTCAATTGAGTAAGTTTAAATTTTTAGAGACTCAAATTCCACGTTTTATTGATATTTATGATTGAAAATAAAGAATTTCATTAACCTTGAGGGGTTGCTCAATTGGTTAGGCCTTGGGTTTGCTCCCCACTGGTCACCAGTTCGAGTCCCCTCAGGGCCACTGAGGTGAGTACCCTACCGTAAACTTCAGGGCCCCATGGAATTAGTCGAGGTGCGCGCAAGCTGTCCCAGACATCCACGGTTATCGAAAAAAAAATAAAGAATTTCATTTATTTTTGTCGTTCCGCTTTTATTAAAAAGAAAAACAGATTTTTCCGTAACACTCCAGATTGATAAAATTTTGGGGCGTAACAGTATGGTTTCAGAGCGCAGTTCTACTTTCCTGTAGACTTTAAAAATAAATAAATAAATTTTACAGTACGGGCTATTGTTCATGTGAGCAGTTCACCATGGACAATGAAAAATAAAGTATTTCAACTTGATAATCAAACTTTTTACAATATCAATTACCATGAAAAATAAAGTGAAAAATGTCATCCAAAAGCCTACATTTTTAAAAATAATCAAGAAAGAAAAATCCGGGAAAGTTCTGCGCAAGCAGATGTCCAGTTGAGCCATGCAGACGTCCTGTTCGTCCAACGATCACTTTTTTAACCGTTCTGAATTCTAACATACAACGACAAGTTTGGTTGTCCAGTTCAGAATGTGAATGTCCATTAGTCAGAATTTTTAGCGTTTTGACTGCTATAAATACCATTTTACTTTAAATTCATTATAACATTTTTTAGAACATTCGAAGTGAGAGATTCTTGAGCTAAAGTTATTGATCTTAGCTCTTATTTTATCTTTATCAAATAATTCATTAAAGTGTTAGCCTATTTTCTCTCTTTGTACTTAGCGTGATTATATCATTTATTAAGAGAGAAGTTTAAAATCATTTCTCTTTAAATTTGGGGGTCATATTGAGGTCTCGGAAAGCTCAATATTATATAAGAATCGGTGCTCCTTGTTTGTAAGTCACCGGAAACATTGCAAGAGTTTGAATTGCACCATAAGTCAATCAAATTTAGTGAAAAAGCATTGCTCGTGACGAAGAGCTTGGTAATGGAGAACGTAAATCATTGTTTGTGATCGAACTTCCACAATTACATCGTTTGCACACTCTCTTCTCTTTTACTTATTGTTTTCGTACTTGTGTATTTTTTTGATTGATTGACTTATTCATTTTCAACTTGCTTAAATTTGAATTAATTTTTCGAAAATGTTTTTAATAACCAATTTAATCCCTCTTGGTTAGTTACTCTTGGACGAGGTTTCTTGACACTGCAGAATATTTCATTATATGCCAGTACAGATCAATTAACTAATTTTTAGTTAGATCAAGTTGTTCGGTGCAAGCAACTGGTTCTCTATAAATGGATTTATCATGCTTTTCCAAGTTGAAATAAAAACCATGCTTCATGAATCACACATGAAAACCTTCTTGACATTGCATCCATCAACCACATGTTCTATGTCAACCAATGAAAAGCTTAGAAGATGAGTATAATCCATGTCGACACTTCATTTGCCATACTGTACCCAAATCTAACACCACGTCTGTGTCTCTAACAAACACTACCCATAAATACTATGTAACAAGATACATCTCCTCTGGTGTAGTTTTCAAAACAATTCTTCATTTAAAACTTATTCTAACCATTTTCTAATGTCAAATTTATGTAAGCTTCTAGAACATCCTAATTCTGGCTCTCTATATTAATGAGATGCCTTGTAATTGTGCGCTAAGTCCAGACACCATAACTAAATTTCCATCTCCTAAAAATTGACAATAAATTGCCTGGCAACTAGGACCAAATACGTCTCACACTTGTATTCTAGACGTGAACATTTCTTAAAACCAAAGAGAAGAGACAGATACCTCATTCAGTAAAATCCTACCATGGAGCAAGATTTCGAGAACTCATACCACTCAAATAACAAGCAGGCTTCACTCACTTTGTGAATGTAATTGGTGGCCCATACCTCAAGCAGCAATGCAAGAGCAAGGCTGGAGGTTTTAATTGGGCAAAATGGAACCCTTCCCTTTCAACTAGTAAGAATAAACCAAATAGAATTGCAATCACGCAAAGGAAAAATTGATAGCTCGGCACACTATCCAACCCAACTACGTGGACCTATATAACTTGAGCCTGGAAAACCGAATAGCCCTCAGAATAACCCCAGCAATTACCCCAGACCAGATTAAGAACAACAGGTAATTGAATTGGCTAATGGGTTAGAGAATAAAGTCCAAAACAGTGAATATAGTGTGAGAAAATTGGAAAAAAAAATTCTATAAGCATTTTTATGAAGAAATAATTTTCCTTCTATTTTTATTTAATTTCCTTAATCAAATGCAATAACCAAATGTATCCTAAAATTCCGAGGGATTCTATATTTCAGTAATGAACAAAAATAGAAGCAAAGATAATTGCATCATTTTCGGCACTCTAAAAATTAGAAATTATTTTCAAATAATTTTGAAATAAAATCGTACACTTGTGATATTTTTCTTCTTACAAATAAAGAAAAAAACGTAGATCTACTCCAAAACCTGGAAATAATTTCAAAGCAAATACAGAACTGGTAATAAAATGATTAATTATAATGCAAACAAAAATATACCATCGCCGTCCTTATCAAAAAGGCTGAAGGCTTCCTTGAACTCAGCTATCTGCTCCTCCGTTAACTGTTCTGCCATTTTTTCTTGCTTGAAATGCAGAGAATTTTCAGAAACTCGTTTAAGAAATAACACAGCGTTTTGAATTTTTTCCTTGCCGGCTGGTTTCGAAAGTTCAGTTATTTTTGAATCCATTTAATTAAGCGATAATTGCAACAAAAGCCACAAACCTTTAAAACACCGACATACTTTTCTCAAACATTTGATTTGTTGCAGTCGTCACTCCTAACCTTTTGAAACGTTGTAGGTGAGGCCCTTTTGGACGATTTACATCCAATACCGTTAGTTGACCCAAAAAATTGATTTTAACCCTATTTTAATCAATTTTAAAATGACAAAATGATAATTATCTATCAATCACATTAAATAATTAAATAATAAACAAAAAAAGAAATAGAAAAGAAAAGTCAACCCCGCCCCAACGAAACCCCTAACCAAAACCCATCCCCATTTTTATATGGGCCTCATATCATGCGCCGGCAGTCCTTTAACGTGCACTGCAAGTTCCCAATAGTTTTGAAAACGTTAAGCAATTCCTTCGCCGCTATCTTCCCATCACAATCGAAGTCAAAGAAGTCAAACGTCTCCCTCAGCTCGACTTCCCAAGCATGCGGCCCAAAAGCCAAGCCGATCGCATAGAACTCTTCCAAGCTGAAACATCCTTCGCTCATCTCTGTTCACTTCGTTTAACATCATAGTCGGCTCCTATTGGCTCGGCAGCTCGGCACCAATGCAACTCAACAAAGTTTTCAGCTCTTCTTTCTTTACTTTTTCAGGCCCTTCCCTGTCTATCATTTTAAAGGCTTGTTTTAGTTCAAAGTAAACGTCGGCAGAGATTTCAGACGACTCACTGGAGGATAAACACGGCAGAACGCCGGTCGCCATTTCTAATCCGTCGATCGGCTTCTTGATGCCAGATTGTGATTCATCAGGGGAAGACAACGTGGTTTGGGAATTGTTGGAAGAAGGGTCGATCTCGGATCTGGAAACAGAGCATGATTTCTTAGACTTGAATAGCTTTTCGGGAACAATTTTGACGCTGCCTACTACTGCCCTTGAAATTTAATGCTTGGAGGTGAGAGAAGAGAACAAGTGGTTTTGGTTTGGGGTTTCATTTGAGATGGGGTTGACTTTTCCCTTTTTATTATTATTTCTTTTTTTGTTTATTATTTAATTATTTAGGGTGTGTTCGGTTGTGCTTAAAATTCAATTAAAATTGAAAATATAATCGTTATTGAGTCTCACTCGTCTAATAAAAGTCAACAATAATGGCTAATTTTTCAATTTTAATCCAATTTTAATCTCTACTGAACACGTCATTAATGTGATTAATGGATAGTTACCATTTTACCATTTTAAAATTAATTAAAATGTGGTCAAAATTAATTTTAGGGTCAAATGGCGGTATTTTGGATGGAAACCATCTAAAAGTGCCTTGCCACAACGTTTCAAAAGGCTAGGGGTGACGATTGCAACAAATCAAAGGTTTGGGAAAAGTCTGCAAGTGTTTTAAAGGTTTGGAGCTTTTATTGCAATTATCTCTTTAATTAATTTTAAAGAAAATTGCAAAAAATGTCCATTTTTACATAGTCATTTACAAAAATGTCCAAATTTTTTTCAATATCTATTTTACTACAATATAGATCAAAATGTCCTCATTAACAATTTTAAATTCCACAATGAGGACAAAATTATTTATATAATTAAAAGTTGTATTGATCATTAAAAACTTGACACATAACATATAGTCATATATTACTTATTTTAAAAAATGACCATGCCGATCATCCATTAAATGCTAAATTCTCCCTATAAGTGGGTAAATAAAATATTTATTAAATGTCGAGAAGTATACTTAAAATATCAAGAACATTATGAAATGCAGAGAACTCTAGTGTAAACAAATGAAGTGTCAAGATAAACATGATCCAAATATCGATAACATTTTTTTAAAATGTCGAGAATGTCATGAAATGTCAAGAATAACAACTATTAAACACAACTCATCAACAAAAACAAGATTTCAAAGAAAAAATACATTCTATCGAGAATTGTGAAAAATATAATCAATTGCAAATTTGGATAGGATTAAATTTTTCGAAATGAAATTATATGATTTTCTTATGAATTGGAAGTATATTAGTGTTAATGACTTTTCTACTTTATCTTTTTTATTTTTCCCAAAATTATTGGTCAATACCTAATAAATAGATAATAAAAACAATTGAATTCATTGGATATTAGCTAGCAGTAATGTAGCTTCTCGTGGATGCTACTTGTATCTTCTCAAAATTCGTGACAAATTGAAAAAAATAGCTTCAGTTTTCATTGATGGTATAATAGACAATTTGGTACCAAATTTGGTCATTTTTGCAAGAGTTATCGAAATTAGACATTTTTCAATTCACAAGCATGAAATTGGCCATTTTTGTAAATTCCCTTTAATTTTATAATGGTCGGGGAAAAATTTTGTTGGAAAAAATTGGTTTTTGTGTCAAATCACCAGCTTGCCATCTTTGATTTAGCCATTGTTTGGTACTCATTATTTATCAAAAATAATGTTTTGAATAATGAAAGTTAAGAGAATGTGTGGTTAAAAACTAGAAAAAAATGAATTTACGCACATAATATTTTGTTGTGTGAACGTGTAGTTGAAAATGAATGTAGAAAAAAGTTTAAATTTAAAGACTATCAAACAGGGACTTAAAGTTGCTTGTTTGCCAATTTTTAAGTAGTGCATGCGTTTTAACATTTCCAAAAAGTCAATTTAGCCCTTATTACTACCGTAAGTGAAGAAAACAGTAGGTGGGTGAAGAAATTTGTTAGTGGGCGAGGGAGACGAATGACAACATGAGCAAAATTGGGTATTGTCATTTACAATGAATTCTGGTACTGTAATTGTCTGAAAAATGGAGTCTGATGATATAAATAAAAAATTGATATTTGAACACTCAACGATCCGATTTTTCTTATGAATTCAACTTTAATTGCTACCAAACAAGGGCTAATTATTCTTTTAACTAGAAGAGTTAAGAAAGTTGGTGAAATGGGATAGTTCTTTTAAAAATTAGTTTTCAAATAAAAATTAATATGTTCTACTAGAAACAAAAACAAATATATGTCAAACAGCCCTTATTATAAGTAGAGTTGTGTTGTTGGATTGCAAGCTTGGTTTAAACTAAAGGAGTTGGAATTAAAGAGACGAGAGAATTGTTTAACTATGATATTTCCTTTTTACATTATTCTTGATGCATTTTTCTGAATTGGAGTATTCAGTAAAATAATTGCTGAAATATTACAATAAATGAGATTTTTTATGGAAGATTGATTTTGATTGAAATGAGTTGGCATAGTTTGGCCTTGAGTGGGAGACCAATGTCCGTATTTATAGATCTTTAATTGAGAGTTGACCGTCTTCGATCATATCAACTACATCATCAACTTAAATATGTGCATCACTGCCATGAGTATTGTTGACCCAAAAAATGTTGCCAACAGATGTCGGGCCCACTTGTATATATGTAAGCTTAATCCAACACGTTAATGCCATTCGGGTTCCAGATTCTGAACGTGGGAGGAGCTCCACGAAACGAGACATCTCCGTTCGGGCCTCCGGCAAGATAAAAAGAAAACGAATGTATAAAAAACTAATCGATAATGAGCACAATTGGTGGTAGAAAACATATAAATTGGTTGCAAGTCTATTAATAATGACTACTAATTCCTTAGAAATAAAGAACATAAAATAGTTTTAGAATATTATACTCTGCAAATTAATATGCAATTCTCACTTCATTATTTTTTAGTGGACAATATCCTTGTAAAATTATAAATGTATGAGGTCCAATCAATTTTCTTTTAAAAAAATGAAAATTTATAAAGAGAAAATTACCTCAAAACCTACATTTAAAGATTACATTTCAAAAACACAGGAGAATATCGGGTTCCAGATTCTGAACGTGGGAGGAGCTCCACGAAACGAGACATCTCCGTTCGGGCCTCCGGCAAGATAAATAGAACACGATTGTATAAGAAATCAATCGATAATGGGCACAATTTGTGGTAGAAAATATGTTGTAGAAGTACACTTTATGAACGAGAGAGAGAGAAAGAGAGAGATATTGCTCCAAGTGTATATATTTTCATCATCCTTCTTATGTTACATAGTGGGGGTATTTATAGTGTTACAAATGAAATAATGACATTTGGATCAATTTACACTTGGCCTCATCTCATCGGCCAGGACATCAAATCCTAACCATAAAGTTGACTTTCCTAGCCTTACAAAACATTAAGTACTCTTACATTGACAAGATAAGACACAAAGCTACTTTTCACAAAAGTCACGTCAATCATTCAAAAGGAAATCTTCATCATTACTATATCTTTCCATGTGAGCCTTCTCTAGCTGCAAAAGGGCCTCGGATAGTGCATGGCCACGGAACCATGGTTTCGGCTAACAACATTAGCCTCAGAATAAGTCGAGGCCTCGGAATCTATGTCAGAGGCTAGGAAAATATACCCTAATTTCATTAAGCTGGTCCCGCGGTTGAAATATGGTGCCACGTGTCACTTCCGTTTATGACTCGTAACAATAGTCCTCCAAGTCCATATGTGGTTATTTATATCATACGTGGACTTCAATAAGTCAGAAAAAGTCTACACTTCACATCAGTCCCTCGAGTCCAGGCAGAAAGTTGCCTTTAAGGCTGAACTCCCTTGAAGCGAGGCGAGTTCATATTCGAGCTGGCGAGGCTGAATTTCTTTGAGGCAAGGCGAGTTCATATTCGAACTGGCGAGGCTGAATTTCTTTGAAGCGAGGCGAGTTCATAGATATTAGTGCCTATAACATGACGGTTTCATATGTTGCCAAGGCAAAATGGCTGCATCGAAACGACTTTTAATAACCATACAGCTGTTTGAATTCAATGCGTAATGATGGTTAATTATTAGGACGCGTGATTTTGGGGTACACGTTCACACGCTGATCGGCATTGGTATATGCACGAGTTAATCTAGGGCATTGAAAATACAAACCGTTCGAAATCTGTGGCTCAGATCTACTTACTTTCGGACGCTTCAGATTAGCTGAGATTTGATCCAATGGCTGGGATTAGATTCCTCACCAATATAAAAGCTGGAATCTTACCATTTTAAAACTTTTATCTTCGTGAAATACTCCTCAAAACCTCTCAAGTTCTCTCGCTGTTAAATTTTTCCAACGAGTCTTCCGACGAACTTCTTCGTCCATTTAAGTATTCTTTCATTAAGTTTTTCTTGCTGTTAAATCTTCTCCATCCTTCAACACCATTCCCGTAGTTTTTTTTTTCACAATTTTCTTTTACTTTCAATGTCTGACGAGGCGTCTATGGCTATTGCAGTGGCTAGGAGTGGGGAAGAGTCAATATTTGGGGCTTCAGGTGAGTGGTATAGTATGTTCGACGAGCTCATAGATTATGAGGCGGGATGAGGGGCAGCCAAGATTTCATCTAACATAACCTCTTCCAAATTAGCCGAACTTAGGGACACTTATTGCATACCTCACTACGTAGAGCTCATAGTTCCTGACCCCCACGAAAGGGCCTGTTTTCCAAGGCCAAACAGCGTAGTTTTCAGTGAATACCTGCTTAAAGCAGGTGTGCGTCTACCTCTACATCCTTTCTTTAGGGAG